GTACCTGTAGATGTGCTGGGAGGTTACTTCAATGCACTGTAATTACAGCAGGTCAGAGTAGACTTGATTAATCGATTCTTCTGGAACGTGCTAATTGGTATGTTTGAGCTAGCTTCTGTTTTGTGTATCAGCATCTCCACGCTTCAAAATGGCAGCAGAGGAACTTGATTTACAGTTCATTTGAGCTTTAGTTCAAGTGCCCCCACTGCCATTTTGAAGTGTGGGGACACTGATACACAAGACGCTGTAGGTGCTTTAATTAGAACATCTCTTGGAGCTGCTCTAATTAAAGTGCCCCTTCCCCTCCCATCCCCCTTCCCTGGTGCATGTGTAAAAATGCTCATGGAGCCCAGCTGCTCAAGTTGGAGCAATTTACATTGCTCCGAAAGCAGAACTGCAGGAAACTAAGGAACTTTCAGCCCAAAAAAGGGGACACCTCATGAGTTCTAGGTGCTTGTTGAGGATCCATGGAACAGGTAGTTTTAGCACGGCACTTCTGGACTCTGGCATCCACAACCTATCTAAATCCTGTTTTGTGTCTGGCTCTGTGTGGTACTGGATTAGGGCCCAGAAGCCTGTCTAGTCTAGTTCCCTGACTACAACCCGGCCTTGGGTTAATCCATAAAGCATGAAAAGCAGTAGAATCTGAGTGCTTCAGAATAGATTTGATAAGCAAAGTATCTGTAAGGTTTTACTACCCGACAGTTGTGTCTGATTATCAACTTGATTCTACTGTGAAGCTGTTGCTCTTTCTGGCATTCCCTAGTTTAAAACCCCTCATTATGTTTTTGATATTTAATTTACGTAACCACGAATTGTGAGGAGTTGATAACTATAATTGCAGAGCTTGCAGGTTATTGTTATGGTTTTGTAAGGAGAGCAAAAAAAGAAGTTGAGAAATGGCTTTATATGTAAGATACAAGTACCTTTTTTATCCATTGAGACTGCACATCATTTGAGTGGGGAAGCCTATAATTTGTAAGACAGCTCTTTATACTTTCCAGACTCAAATCACATTTGTGTTCACCTTTTCATAGACTTTTAAACCTTGCTTATGTGCTAGTCTGACCTCGAGGAACTATAAAGTAAGCCAGGTCAAACAATTTATGATCCTTTTAAAAATATCTAGTCTTAGTTGATCAAAACAGCTAACTTTCAAGGTATCATTTTCCTTTCCATATTTCATAGATTTCATAGACATTAGAGCTGGACCTCGGAAGATCATCGAGTCCAGCCCCCAACCCAAAGGGCAG